GACTGTTTTGAAATGTTAGAAAAATGTTGCAGTCATTGTACAAGATTTTATGAAAATGGTATAATTGATAATGTTGCTTCTTTCCTAAAAACATTAGAGAAAGATGATTCAAAAATATTAGAAAATAATGATGAAAATGACCAAAATTGTGAAGATGATAATGATGATGATCAAGAAGTCATAAATAGATTGCTTACAAATGCTAAAAATGAAATAAAAAATTGGTAGATTGTTTATATAATAACAAATATATTTTTAATAAAATTATTTATATGTTTAATTCTACAATTTAATATTTTACATATATACATATATATATATATATAGCTATAAATAAATACCTCTATAATAAAACTCCACAGGTATTGACGTATTAGAGATGCCACATGTTTAACAACAATCTATGTTTAAGTAAATTCTACAATTTAATATTTTACATATACGTGTATATATATATATAGCTATAAAGAAATACCTTTATAATAAAACTACACAGGTATTGACGTATTAGAGATGCCACATGTTTAAGCAACAATCTATGCTTGATTTTACATCTAATGGTAGTGTCTCATCTGTGATTGTATTGGGAAAAAGTTGTTTTTTAATAAAGTGAAGTTACTATTTAAAATTCCTTCACTTCTAGTAAAATTTGTGAAAATTATTTCATTAGAGATGCCACAAGTAGAAACTATACATTTTTTTTAATCTCACATATAATTACGAAGTTTATTTGAAAATTATTATGTAAACAATTTTTTTGTCAATTGAAAACGTGATTTTACATATACAATCTACTTTAAAATTATATAGTCGCACAACATAATTTCAAGATCGTCACAAAGTGATAAACGTGATAAATCGAACTTCCATCATGCTGCTGATCAATCATCAATCTTTTAGGAAATCACAAGGGAAGATCATTCCGAGATTCTTATGACTCAAAACTTTCTAATAAAATGAAAAAATTAAACTGATGTAAATAAAGCTTAGGTGTTTAGTTTTAATTCTCTCAATTTACTTTTCTTTTTTAATAAGGAGTTATAAACTTTTAAAGTCATGTGATAACTATTGACTGTTATAGATGCCTCGCACTATAGGAAATTTTCTGCTCAAACTTGTTTTGATTCCATTACCTAATAAGTATTGTACAACAAAGAACAGGAAATATAAAAGTTTGTCTAAACTAAAATGTGATGATGCCGAAACTCGGAGAAAAAAAGGTTACAGAAACTAATAATCCGAAACTTGGTCACTTTGTCGAAACTCAATCACTGTGCTGAAACTGCGGTTTGTTGTTGAAACTACAAATGAACACTGAAACTCAATACATTGATTTGCTAGATGAATTTCCAATCTACTAGGATAAGCTCTATC